AAAGACATAATAAAATATAAATAATACTGTATTAATAATAAATCTAAGAACTGTTCTGTATTACTCAGAGAGTCTTAAACATATATGAGGCAACGTTGATACTTGTGGTAATGAATCATTATTACAATATACTGTCAGCAAAGGTATTCATTTTATAATCTCAGTATTTATTGCTTTTGAAGAAGACATGTGCGACTAGTTTTAAAACTAAAAGAGATGGAGTTTTCCCTTTAAAGGTTCCTTCTAATAATAATTTTATAGATGATGACTGCACATACTCTTGTGAGTATTCTAATAATCTATATCAGTTACTGATCTGTGCAAAAAACTTAGCATTGATGGTCCGTATATATGCGGGGTACTGGGTCTCTTCGGATGTACAGTCATTCAATGTAAAACAGTTTGTTATTTGTTATTCGTATTCATAAGCTCTTGTGAGTATTCTAATAATCCATATCAGTTACTGATCTGTGGAAAAAGCTTAGTATTGATAGTCCGTATATATGCAGGGCACTGGGTCTCTTCGGATGTACAGTCATTCAATGTAAAACAGTTTGTTATTTGTTATTCGTATTCATTGGTACCATTATACCTAGCTTCAAAGTGAAGAGTTGTTGTTTTAAGATTATATTGTGGTAGGCACCGAACATATTATTAATAAGAAAAAAATATTCATAATCATAATTTGCAATGTATTTTAATAAAGAAACATAATTATTTAATGCAACTATTTAATATAATATAGTAAGTTAGTACAAAATAAATCAATCACCCTGTATAATATACGTAATATATGCTTAATTTTTTTATTACTTTATCGTATTTTCTTTTTTTTGTCTATTTTGCGTGAATGAGTAATAACTTTTATTGTGGATTGCTCAATGTACTTTAAATAAAATAAAAATAATAAAATTTTTAACAGAGATGATCGGCAATGTTAAAAAATCTGAGCATAAACAGAAAAATAGTGTCATAAGCTCTTCTGTTCAACAAATTTTAAAGAGAGCTTTACATAAAGCATTACTCTTTAGCATATCTATGCTTAACATAATAGAACTTATATTTGCATTAAAAAAGATATAAGGAGAGATATATGTATATTGCTGCTAATGTAACTCTTTCAGGATGTTTTGAAAGATTTTATTTAACAAAACAATAAAATTAATTTAAACAAGATTTTCAAACTTCTTTTCTGACAAATTCTAATAACTTATTATTTTAAATAATATTAAAAAAAATGTAAATTAAGCAATTATAGCATCTTCGCCTTAAAAATATTTTTAAAAATATTTTATTATAAAATGTTACGAAATAAACGTATGTATATGAACATAATACATTAATGTATATATATAAATTCTTTAAACCATTTAAATGTGTAACTCTTTCTTTACTCTGCAACTCTGTAGTTATGGTGTTAAGAGCATTTTTCACCGGTATTTTTTATAAAAAACAAGCATATTTGTCTGCAGCTAAGTTAAGAGAAACTGACATACACATATAAAAAAGTTTATTTTTACTCATTTTTTCTGTTATGTTTTATGTTATTTTCCTACGTAAACACTTCTTTGCAAATATTGTACGCAAATGCATTTATTACTTCCCGTGTAGCTTTGTGTGTTTCCTCTGCAGACACATGTTCGTTTTTCTTTTGTAAAGAAAGCTACTAATAAATTATATTTTTTTGCATATAAAAAGTAAACAACTTTGCAAAATTAAGAGAATAAGTTTAAAAAAACAATTTTATTTTTTATTGATCCAAAATATTTTTGATCTAAAACACATGGAATTTAACATAAAAAAAAATTCACATTGTCTTATCGTACTTTAAATTCTGCAGCGCTGCTCTGCTCGCTCAACTCTGCTCTCACATAAAGGAACTTTTTTTTTGTTTGCTTTTGTTTCTTTTTATGTTTTGGAAGCTTACCGAAGCGAAGTTAACCAAAGTTGCTCGTGCCTTGCGATCGGCTTAACTTGTGGCTTTTTTGGTTACGTTATTTCAATTGTTATCGTTGTTGGTGTTGTTTTTGTTGTTGTTACACTGCGGTTATTGCTGCTTACTGTTGCTGCTGACGCAGCTACTTACATTATTTATTGGTTTTGTTTGCTTGTTTGCTGTCTGCTGGCTTTTGCTTTTGTTGGCTTGCCTGCTTGCCTGCCTGCCGCCTTTTTTAAGTTTTTGTGAGAAATTTTCGATCAGTTTAAATTTTTCATTTGCATCGAACGCAAGCAAAGAAAATTATAACCGAGCGAGCATAAATTTTTTTTCTCAAAAGAAAAACAAAAACAAGAAATATTAAACGTCGTTGTTGTTTTGCTGCTATACCGTGTATAAAGAAATACATGCAATATTAGCATTACCGTTACAAGAACAAAATATTATAAATAATTGGTTAGTGTGTTTTATTTTTAAATTAAAATGTAATTCAAATATTTTTAAATAAATTTGGGTTTTGTGTGTGCTGCATATATTCGAATTTAATTAATTTTCTTTTTTGGTAAATTAAAATTCAAGTCTATGAATTCATCACGTGTGTAACTTTAGTTTGTAAAAATTGTGTTGTTTATTAAATCAAAAAATGCCATGCCAACCAGAGAAACGCCTTAAAAGAATATTTTTGTTTGTTTTAATTAAAATTAATTGAAATAAATTAAAAAAAAATAAAAAAAAATTTTATATGCTGAGGAAAAAATATAAATTTTAAGTAAACAATTCAATTAAAAAAATTAAATTATATAAAACTTTAATAAAATAAAATATAGAAGGGCTTGGGTTTGATATTTGATTGCTTCAGTTTCTTTGAAAAAGTCTTTAAGAAAAAAATTATTTTCTATTTTAACCCTTTTTTTTATTAAAATCTGCTGCCATTTTGTGGGAATTGCTCATGAAAGATCTTAAACAAGTGAAGGCAACGAATCTTTTTTTTTCTAAATTTCTCATAAAAATGATTTAGAGGAAAATGTATATTTTCAAAAAGTTTTTAAATATTTGCAATAATATATTTTCATCAAAAATTTGATCTATAATTTTGTTAATAAAATCTTCATTGCAACATCTTTTTCATATCTGAACTCACTAACCTTTCTTTTTCAGAGTCTTTGTTTACCACGTATATTTTTAATGCAGTTGATTTATATAAAATAGTGCAATACTTCAATCTACTGCCAAAAATATTTCTATTCCCATTATATTTTTTACTAAATATAGTTTTCAGACCAAAAATGATGTTTTAGTTAAGTCTCCCACCTAAAACTTTCTTCTAATTTAAAAGCATTAACTGGTATAATTGACATGCCAATAGAAACAGCTTATCATCAGGACCCTAGCTTATCAAAATGATCAAATTTTTTATTATATTATACTTAAAAGTATAATTTAAATAATAAAAATAGTTTTATTTAAATAATTTTCGAAATTCACGTTGCAATATTATTCTAAAAAATCTATTTTATTTGACATAATTATAATTATAATATAATAAAATAATTATAATTATATATTATAATAATTAAAAGTTTACAACAGTAATTTAGGACCCAGCACAAAATTAATTATTAATTTAAAATATTTAATTAATTTTATTAATATATTTAAAAAAATTAATTATTGCATATATTATTAACCTTTTCTAAAACGTTTGTCAATGTAAATATGACTATATCAGTTATATTTATTGTCTGCATCCTTCTAAGTGTCAGACTATTTGACCGACTACAAATATGTGCGATTTTTAAAATATGATTGATTTTTTCTTAATTTCATTAGATAGGCAAAAATAATATCCAAATCTTCGTATCCTTAAATCTAAGTTGTCTATAAATAATTAATCAGACTTATATTGAAATTTATGTGACCCTACCCCAATATAAGTTCCGAAAACTTTATATATACGGTTTCTGGCTAAATATCTTTGTGACACCCTATCCCAATAATATCAGACAGTAATAAAGAAAGCTATTTCAATTTTATTTCAAATTTATTTTCATCTTAAAATAATTAAAACTTAGTATAATAAACTAAAGCAAATTAAACAAATTTAATTTAAATTAAATTTTAAATATCTGTGCATTAAAATATACTAATTTACGCTTTAAATTTAATAATCAAATAATAGAATTCAATGAAAACAAAAAAATACTTAAGTTCTCAAATCAGGTTAATTTAAAATAATTAATAATTAAAAAAAATTGGAATGAAGATATTTATATACGATTAACATTTACAAAAAATTCATATATATTTTTTATATTATATTATATAATATAATATAAAAGTATTACTATATAATATTAATAGTTTCTAATTAAAAAAATATTATGGAAACGTAATTAAAAATTTAATAACTTTAAGTTTATAAAAATAGAATAACTTAAAAAAATCTAAAAATCTTTTAATCAACAATATTCATATATATCAATATACGTACGAAAATTGCGGAAAATAGGCTTATTTATTATTTAAATTATATAAAAAATCAAACAAATAAAGAAATAAAATGAATAACAAAAAAAAATTTTTTTTTTTAAATTTGAAAAAAATATTTTTTGTTTAAGAAACAAGCATTATTAAATAATAAATTTGATTTCAGCTTATATGGTGAAGTTATAAAAAATCATATAATGAAAAATTAAAAATGCATGTCTATCTACATTAGTTTGAAATCAAAAAAAGGAATAAAACCTATTAAAAATAATAATTAGAAAACAACATAATTAAACATTTTTTAATTTTTTAACATGTAACTCTATTTTTATTTAACGGTAACTTACGTTTAACATTTAAAACAAAAAAATTATTAATATAAAACTTCTTAATTATTTACAGTGTTGAAAAGTTTTGAACTAAAAGTATATATTAAAATCAACAAATATTATTTAAAATCTAATTAACGAATAAAAGCAAACTTAAATCTTTCTGTAATAAATTTCGTGCCATTTTGCATTTTTCCGAAAAAAAGTGCTGTTATATAAATTGATATTGAAATGTGACTTAATTTAAATTAAAAAAATTTTGTGATAAAAATATTAAATGATTATTAAACTATTACTATATATTGTACGAGCTAATCACATAAATTAAAAGGGTAAGTCAATGACACAAATAAGTGTGTTAATAAATCTACGTTCATATAAGAAATTCGAAAGTTGCTTTTTTTGTGAAATTATAATTATATATACATATGGTAACATATATGAATATATATATGGATATAATGAACACTTTATTGATCAAATAAAAAAAATAATAAGAAATATATATGCTAAGATATTAAAAACCAAAATTTATCACGATTTGGAGTAATAAATATAATAGGATATAAAAATATAATATTATGAGATAAAATAATCAACAAAAAGAAAATATTTTTATGTATAATGCATATATATTATGCATAAATTAAAATAATAATATTTTTAATGACCTATTATAATTTTATAAGCTCTTAAAAAACGATGGGAAACTATTTATAATATTTATTATAACAGTTATTATAACAGTATTTATTATAACTATTTATAACAGTAATAGACTTATTTCTAGTATCAATATCTAATGCCAATCCCAGTTATTTGTTTAAAATCCGAGTTGTTCATCTATTCTTTAGTTCTTATCGGTGAGTTTGCTTTTTGTGTGCACACAGTACATGTTGCAAATATGAAACGTAATCGTGTTTATTCAGTTTATTAGAAGCATACTAATTTAAAGTAATATCCCCCCGATATTTTGACTTAGATGTACTAGTAGCGTATCCCAAATAGTATTTACCATATTCATTACTTAACAGATTGATATGTATTAAAAAGTAATAGATGATACAATTACTATTATTGAAACGTTTCCGACATCTTTTTAACTTCATTATAAACATTTTGATTAATTAAATTGATTTTTAAAACCTCTTTTTGGCTAAAGAAACTTAATTGCTTTCAATAGAGAACAGTAGTTTTATCGAACAGGAGTAAAATTGCAACAACAAAAATTTTTTCATTATTTGTAATTAATTGAATTTTCGACTGTTTCGAGTATTGAATTCGATACAGCTGTTTCGAGTATTGCCAAACACCCATCATCAGTGGTCTTGGAATTATTTCTTATATATAATTATTCATAAATAATTTTTTTAAGACTGCAAGTACCAAGAGTTGAACTCGTGGCCTGGCAAAATTTGAAGCTTAGTGTCAGTGTTAATAAACCAACAGACCCAAAGCCATATATAATATTTTGACTAATTTTATTTACATTTTTCGAATTTAATGTGGAATGGGTAATATAAATAAAAATAGTTGTAAATACTACATAGGCAAATATAATTTATATAGTCAATCAAGTTTATTTATTATTGATTCATATTTTATATTTTTTTCTCAATTATTTCTTTAATACTATTTTGAAACTTTTTTTTGTTCTATGAACTATAATATTTCAGTTATAAATTCTTACTTAAAACGGCATAATAAGTTATATTAAGTTAGATTATTGAGTTGATCTTAATTATCTATATAGGTCTCTTCGTCCTTGTATAACTGTATAAAATTTAGACGGGTTAAAACTATATCCGATCATAATATGTAATTAAAAATAGACCAATAAATATATAAAATTTACACAACATATGTCATGTCAAAATATATATATGTTCACTCTAGCAGGTATTTAACAATACTCATAGGTTATAATCATTTATTAAATATTTTTATTAAACAATTTGCAAAAAAATCAGTTTATGATTCCAATGATTCATTTCCTTTGTTTCATATAAAGTTTTTTAATCTTGCTTAAGTTTATATTCTTTTACCTATTTTATATTGCTGATGCAGTTAACTATTTTTTTTTATTATGGGTTTTTTTGAAAGTATAAAATTTTTATATTTTATATTTATTATTTTTTTAAGTCAGCAAATTTAGTGTAAAATAAAAAATAATGTTTTAAAAATGAAAGAAAATATAAAAAATTAAATACTGAAAATAAGCACACATATATTGTGTAGTATGTATATAATATTTTCTACATATATTTTCTTCAATATTTTTAAATGCTCATAATATTATTTCTTATTACATATTTGTTTTTCATGTATAAAAACAAATATACATTAAGACTGAAAAGTTTTCGGAAATTCTCATTTAAAATTCGCGCGCTGTATATTTTTCGATATTTTAAGTTTATGTAGTTTGGCAGCACTGTCCTTAATTACTATGCCAAAAATGAGCTCGATCTGTCAGACAGTTCGTTTACGGCAGCTGTTGAAACCAGTTCACCTCAGTAGTGCGTTGCGAAATGTCTTCGACGGTCGTACGACCGTCCTGGAAGGCTTTGTACCACTCATAAACTTGAGTTTTCGATAAAACTGATTCCCCATAAGCCTTTTGTAGCATTCGCAACGATTCTGCACACGAAATTTCGTTCGAAACACAAAATTTGATGCAAACTCTTTGTTCAATATTTTTTTCCATTGTTTTTTTCGCAACGCCCTACTGAGGTGAACTGGTTTCAACAGCTGCCGTAAACGAACTGTCTGACAGATCGCGCTCATTTTTGGCATAGTAATTAAGGACAGTGCTGCCAAACTACATAAACTTAAAATATCGAAAAATATACAGCGCGCGAATTTTAAATGAGAATTTCCGAAAACTTTTCGGTCTTAATGTAGACCTTCACTTTCCCTTTTAAATTTTTATATTGTTTTGTTTTGAAAATTTTATAAACTGCATAAAATTATGTTTAATGTATCTTTATTCAGTTTTATTGCGTTTCCGTTTTTATAGTTTTCAAAAATAGTCGCTCGTTTTTAGTTAAGATAAATGCATATTTATCTGTCCACAAAATATATACTAAATATTTTTTAAATGTGCATACACCATATATATTATATTTGTATATAAGTTTGTAAAAATAATTTATCGTTGGGTGCCAAAAATTATTACAAAACAAAAAATAAATTAAATAAATAAAAATATATTGTACAAGTGTCTACTTCTTGAAGTTTTGTATATCTGCCTTGTTGATGCAAAATTGTTCACAATGTTTTATTTTATTTTATTTATTTTCTTAAATTTGTAGATAATACTTTTAAAAACCGCTAAAATTATAGTTTGTTCTTGACTAAAAAGTAAAAAAATATGTATATGTAGATATATTCGTTGGAATTCTCATAGTGTTAAGATTAAGATTTTTTTTAATTCAAGCTTAAAGGTCATCAACATAATTAAAGTTCATATATGGCTTTGAAGTTTCCATTTTTCTTATTATTTATTATTTTGTAAGTTTTTGCAACATATTTTATGTTTTTATATCCATTTAAAAATATTTGACTGTACAATCATAATATTTCAATATATATATTGTATTCAAAATTTGTTAATTTCACATATACGAGTAAACAATGTTATGTTTATTGAAAAAGTATTGAAATATGTTCACCACATTATGACATATGTCTAATTTAATTCTGTATTGGAACCGTCATTAACTAATATCGAAAAAGGTTTAAAAATTAAGCATAATTAAATTATTAATGAAAGTATTTTTTTTGGCAAATTGCAACTACTTCATATATGCTTGAGTACATGATTTTTGGGAATGTATGTAAGGTTTCTTGAGATTCACTTTTTTCAAGAAGTTCACAAAAAAAATTTCACAATAATGTATTCCACACAAAAGATCAATCAAATGGCAGTTGCAGTGCTCCGCTCCGTTGGGAGGAACCCCGTTCATTCTTATTCCAGACATGATAACTTAAGTTGATATAATATAAGTATTTATATAATATAATATAAGTGGATTTAATATCTACATAGATATTTGGACTACAAGCTTTATAAATGAAACCCTGTAAAATTTAAATCATTGACTTGCGTGTTAACACACAAAGTGAACTTAGTTGGCTAAATAAGTTTGAATTTTTTAAGATTTTAGGTCTGTCATTTTTGTTTATTATATATAAGTAACCATTTCACTTGCAATATTCTTTTCAGAACTATTACATAAACTAAACTATTGTTTATTCTTGTAAGCTTAAACATTATTGTTTATAGAAAACATATTTACTTTAGATCACCTGCAGTCTGCAATCTGTTTTAATGATTTTTGTGCTTGAATTCCACAGAATTCCACAGAACTTGTTCCTATACAAAGGAACAATATGTTTTGATATCGAAGATGTTTGTGCAATCGTGTCTATTAGTAAGTTTAAATAAAAATATTAAATCTGTTTATAACTTAATAAATATTTTTACTGTTTAAATTAAATTTTTAGCAATTATATTTCATTAGACTTAAAAATATATTTTATTAAATGTACAAAATGCCCTGCGCTAATGCACACACGGAATAGGCTCCTAGGAATGTATATTCCTACGGAAGAGGCAATAAAACTCTGTAAAGTAGGTTCTATACTACTTTTTATTGACACAACAGGGCTTAAAGACCTACTCTAAACCCAGAAGGAGGCACCATAGACCCGACGGTCGCAGTACCACATTTCCTAACAATAATAATAATAATGTATAAAATATACACAATATATATAAACCAATTGGAATCAAATAAATAGCACTTATATAACTTATTAAACCCTAATCAAATGCATAACTAATTGTAAAAGAGGCAAGTTATTTTAAGTCATTCGACTTAAAAATATATTTTATATAGTGTATCAAATATACTAATTTTATATATGATCAATTGGAGTCAAAAAAATAGTACAGATATATCCTATTCTGTGCTAGTTGTATGCATAACTAATAATAAAAGAAGTAACTTCAACTTCAAGAGACAACTCGAGTAGAATAATATAATCAAGGATAAACTATATTACCTGCTAACTACACTAAAGTTAATTCGTTGCTTACTAAAAAACAGTAGTGTGTTGTATGATGCAGTACAATGCAGTACGTTATATAAACTAGAGGACTGCATAAGTCTAATACAACCTCAATGTGTGCTATTCGATGAGCATCTGTTGTGTATATAAACTTCTAATACAAAATTTTTGTTAAAAGTACACAAAAAAATTTGTTTGTGAATTGAATTTTGTTTATATTAAAACAACACAGTTGAAACATTTCTAAGAATATTATAAT